AGATCTCGTATTAATGCATGTGTGTTATTGTTTATTAGAATGTATAAAGATAATGCAGAAAACGTGAAGAAAATGCCCCCAAACAACCCGATGTTGTCTGTAATAGAGAATGCTTCCGTACCAACCCTCGAGTTTGAGTACCAGTACATGTATGTTCCTGAGTAATCCAAAGAGAAAATAAAAGAATGGTCTTCCATAAATTTATAACGTTAATTCCTCTAAATGAGCCGTTACAACCATACTTGATAATGACACTTTCGCCTGTCTTGACGTCTGGAAGACGCCGACTTATTTAAGGTACGGTTTGTCACCCTAGACTGGACTAGTCAAACTGTAGCGAACAGCTCAGGTGTGGGGCGTCACCCCCGTATAGATCTATACACAAATTCACGCTCTCCCTCCAAGAGACTCTGGTTATAACTACAGACTACGATCGTACACTCAATAGGTGTCAACCGACTAAACTCACTAGATCCTTAATCGAATTTATGCGAAGAAAAGTATAAAACTCATTCCAGGCCCAATGAACCAGGTAAGTGAGCCACTAGGGCATCACTAAACATGTGAATCATTTTAAGACCTAATAGGAATGAGATTCATATAACATGGGCCTGAAATATATGTAAAGGACAACTAAGGTTCATTTCACATGTAAGGTATTTACAAGCCCAAATAGCACGCAAATAGTATCCAAGGTCCGTCGCACATGTTAATGGGTCAATGAGGCCCTATAAACAAATAAATAGTATTCAGGACCTATCAAGCATATTAATTAGTCCTCTAAGGCCCAATATTATACAAATGGCAAAATTAGTCTGTTTGTTATTTTATTGCTAGTATTAGTCAATTTATTTACCAACATAGCATAAAAAGCCCACTTTTTGTAAAAATGTCATTCGTGGCCCAATAAGCCAAAAATTTACAATTAAGACCCAATCTTAATAAAAATAACACTTTTGTCCCTATTTTGCTCAAAACTTGTATTTATAGCTAATTTTTGGTAAAAATAACATTTCTAACCCATTTTTGTCAAAAATATCATTTTTGGCTTGATTTTTGTGAAAATAGACATTTTTATGGT